ATGATAGAGTTTGACCTTTAAAAAAAGAAGTCTTCTGTTTCTCTCCTTAAAGCTAAAATGCTGGATTGATTTCTGTATGTCTGTGGTCTAAGGCCTGTGCTGATTTATAGTACGGTGAGTGATAGTTAATTAATTATCTATTTGTCCTTCAGTGCTGGCTGTTTCTTTACTGATGATATTCAGAACCAAACAAACGCGATCATTCAGGGTCTTGCAGATACTTCCTCTGATACAGAGCTTCCAAGTGTACCCATGAACCTTGCCAACATCCCCCCGGTCGGAGCTGCAGCCAGCAGCAGTGGTAACAGTCCAGGCAACCAGACAGCAGAAACCCAGGAAAATGTGACTGTGGATCCTCTGGACTCCGGTCAAGGAGAAGTCACTGTGGCTTCGACTAGTAGTGAGAATGCTAATCTTGAAATGCATAAACCTACAAACCCAAATCCTTCTGCAGAACTGCAGTGGACAAACATTGACTTGAAGGAGGCCCAAAAGCATCCAGTCCTCTCCGTCAGCAGCTTTGCAGAAACATCCAGCCTGTCTTCCCTTGGCATGTTCTCAGTGGGAGCTGAAGAGCAGTATGGAGCCGATGATCACCCACTGTGGGCCTGGGTGTCTGGGGGAGGCTGTCTTGTAGATTTGCACAGCCCATTGAAATGGTTCACTGCTCCATCAGGTACTCTCCAGTCACTACAACAGACCCTAATTCCCACTCACAGTTCAATATGCTCTTTAAGAAATATGTTGGTTTGGGTTTTTTTGAACAAAACCATAGCACAAAACTTCTGATATCCCATTTACTGCATTTTGTTAATACACTCCAGGATAGTGCTGCTTGTATTTAGCTGGAAAGCACTTTGGGATTGTAATGTGTAAATCTAAAGGTGGTGTTTTCTCTGAGTTTTTGTAAAACAATCTGTGCTGGATATGCATCTCATTTTTAATTGCACTGAAACTGCAGCTTCAGGCAAAACCCCTCATACCACTGAGTGGTAACTGAAGGCAGAGAAAAGGGCTCTTTTGAGAGATGCAGATGCCACAAATAACTGCCTCTCTCCTACCATTCCTAGTGAGACAAGAGTAAGATACGGAAATTACTCAGAGGCACTGTGAGTGTGAGCCTAGCTCATAACTGGATGGTGTTAGATTTTAAACTATTGAAAGGCAGTGGAATGTAACCATATTTCCAAAATATGTAATGGACTGTGGCATCCCAGTATCTCATAGCAGTGTAATTCTTAATGCATTGTACTACCTAATTGCAGTTCAGTGACAAAACTCCCATTTTTATAAGATAATGGCCTTGAAAGATTCTGTGTTATCATCTAGTGATTCCATTTCTATGCATCATTTACAATTTTTGGCTGTAAATTCTTAAGTATTCATTGATTGTTAAGTATAATAACTAGAACAATTACAGGATCATAGAATAGTTGGGGTTGGAAAGGACCTTAAGATCATCTAGCTCCAACCCCTTTACCAGCATTGTGTTTTACCTTTCACAGAACTGTATTCAAAGCTCACTGGAGTTTATTGGTTTGGGTTCTGTTCTAGGTTTGTCATCCTCTGTGCAGTCGCTATCACTGTCTATCACTCCAGCACAGACAGCAGCATGGCGAAAGCAGATCTTTCAGCAGCTCAGTGAAAGGACGAAGAGGGAGCTGGAGAATTTCAGGCACTATGAACAGGCTATTGAGCAGGTAAGCAGTGAGGATGCTTATCTGTTTACTAAACACATCTATCAATGCTGGACATCAGTAACACATTTCTGATGTACTGATTTGAACTTACTGTCACCTTTATATTCTTGTCCTTATTTCCGCCTATGACAACTTTCCTGGATTATCACTGTCTGAGCTCCCTATGGGAAACTTAACAGCTTATCAAACATGGAGCAGCAATCATTATCTAAAAATATTAGCTGATAGTTTTGTGTAGGAGCAAAACCAGATTGGTCAGCACTGTTCTAGTACACTGAAACCTCAAATCCACAGAGAAACATTTGCAACAGTGGAACATTGTATGAATTATTCCACCACAAGATGAGGCTTCTTAATTGAACCAGTGACTCAAGTAGGTGAACTTTCCCTCTCTGCAACCATTAGGGAATTAATGTAAGTTCTATAAATAAAACAACGATGCAAACATCAACAGCAGCACTTAAATAGCAGCACTTCTGTGTGATGTTCTCTTTGTTACGACTTCTCAGCTCTTTTCAGATTCATTCATATTTTTGGTCTCTTCACTGCTAATTGCCAAATGACATAGGGAATTCATTTGATTAAAATCACTTGGAGTGCAGGAGTTTAATCAAGTTTAAAAAGATTATGTCAAAAGCCTTTAGAGTCCAAACAGAAGTTGTGTTGTAACAGGAGCACACTGGAGTCAGTTAGTATCTGTGTGCTACTGCATTCTTGCAGAGATAAAATGTTAATACTGTTGTACACATGCTACTTCAGTGCCTTTCTGTCCAGTTTTGTCAGTTTTCCTTTTGTCTTCAGCTTTTTGAACACTCTGGTACACTCTTTGTCAGAATGAACTGATCTGATAAGACTGACCTGCAGCAGAGATTTCTTGTGGTCACAAAAACAGTATTTGGGAGAAAGTGAGTCACATAGATTGCTTACTCCTGTAAATTTGTGTTTGCATTGCAGTCAGTTTGGGTTAAAACTGGAACCTTGCAATGGTGGAGGAATTGGAAGCCTCATAAATGGATGGATGTTCGAGTCGCACTTGAACAGTTCACTGGGAGTGATGGAATTCGTGACAGCATCCTGTTCATCTATTACATGTATTATGAGGAGAAAAAGGTGTGTTCAGCTTGAGACCCTTGAGAGAGTTGTATTTGGCAAATGAAAACCTTTGAAGGGAAAACAGTTTTCTTAAGGGAGGCAAATTATGGTATGCTGCTGTTCTAAATTTTGGGAACCAGTGCAAACATAGCCCAGGGTACTAGCAAATTGCAAACTTTCCTAAGTTTTAGCTATGTTAATGCTATGTCAGAAATACCCAGTCAGCAACAATCCACATTGCTTGAACCTTCAGCTTTGCACTAAGTTCAAAATGTTCTTTATTGTGAAGAAAGAGCCAAGCTTGCCTGGCCAGGATCTTTATCAATAGGGTTAATGCATACGGGCAGTAGGAATCAGGGGTAGTGCAGGACTTGAAATAGAGCCCTGTTTCTTCTGCACGAAGAGTTGATTCTTTACTGTTGTTGGCAGGAACGCCTCAGTCATACTCCTGAAGAGCAAACGTGCTGGCTCTGAGGAAGGTATATCTGAGTGTTAGCTTTACGTTCCACTTTTTTGTCTTGTCTTAGTATATCCACGTGTTCCTGAATGAAGTCACTATTATAGTTGAAGTTCTGAATGAAGCCAAACATTCCTTTGCACTTTATACGCCTGAAAGGACGAGGCAGCGATGGCCAATCCGCCTGGCAGCCACAACGGAGCAAGAAATGCATGACTGGGTAATTCTGTGAATTTTTTATTTCAAGTTGGCAATATCTGCAATAAAACATAAAGCTAGTCTATGAATCTCAGCATCATATTTAGGGCATCTAGGGTATTTACTTACCTGTTTTCACAATTTAGGTATTAAAAAGTCTGTTCAAACTTGGAGGTACCTGAGGCTTCTTAAGTCCACTGGAGTTTACATGCTTTCTGATGATGCTGCTGTTATCTACAGTAAAACCAACATTGGTTTTCCTTCCCTTTCTATCTCCAGATATAGATTAGGCTATGAATGAGTCAGGAGTTTAATTCAGTTAGTCTATTCTTCTGCATAGGTAGGAGAACTGTTACCTGTTGTCACTGTTGTAGAACCTTACATATAGGCAGGCACATACACACTGAAGCAATGGAAAGCCTGAACGGTAACTTCATAATGATCAGATACTGCAAACACAGTGGTTCCAGTGTTTGTTAATAATTTCCAAAACACTGAATTCCAGTGCTTTTGAGAAAAAGCTGCAGATTCACTTTGCTGATTTGCAAGAACATGCAAAGGTAAAACTTCATTTTATAAAACTGAAGCATCCATGTGGAAGTTTTTGTTCTCACTGCAAATGGAAGCTTTTGGTTCTGTGCTTCCTGTTTTGTAGCTGTCTTTGCTGAACATGTCGTGTTGTGAAAGCAGACGGATTCAAGGCCCTCCTTCTCACCATGCCATTTGGTCAGTTACTTGTAAAGGAGACATCTTTGTTAGTGAGCCAAGTCCTGAACTGGAGGACGGACCACAAGTGATGCCATGTGATCAAATGTAAGAGGTTTCAGAAGCTGTTTTCTGCATGGGATGCCATCCAGCAAAGACTGTCTTTCATGCCAATTCAGTAACTTTGATGGACTGTCAGAGTATATAGTACACTGCAGATGTCTGTCAATGACAAGGTTAATGGCTGCCTTCATATTCATGATTGCATGTGAAGAAATTCATCAAATCATATTAGAATTTTTAAACGCTGGAGCTACTCCTGTGATTTCACAAGCCTTTCTCACTGAGATGCCATTTTTTAGTGATTGCATCTTTCATGCCATAATTACTTAATTTAAGATAGGACCTAGTCTAAAACTATACTACATCACTGTAATTGTAATGGAATTTGAGCTTTCAGTTTTATCAGTCAGGACTGAAATTCCCAGTCCTCCATAGTCACTATGATCCGGGAGCAGCTACTTTACAGTTTTGATTACAACTATGCCAATATAGTACTGCCAGCTCTTCTAGCGGAAACATACCAGCCTCAGAACTGGTGGCTTAAAGGCCAATCTTCAATTTAAAAAATATACAGTTTCACATTACTTGCATAAAGCATCTTTGAATAATATTAAGAAATCCTTTAGTCCTTTTCCTTTAGGGTAGAGCACCCTCAAAATCACAAAGCTAATGTGCTCTTGCATCTTAGTTTGGGGGATCCATGACCTAGATGATCTCCTGCCATTCTGGTAGCTAAAATACTCCTCTGCAATCTCTTTATTTTCCCCATTCTTCCCCAGAAAGGTGCCATGGCCAACTGGCTGTGTAAAGCCCCAGAAAAGGATTAACCTGCAAAGATTAGGAGAATAGGAAGAATCAAAGCCCTTGTTTTTACCAAGCTCCATAGTAAATACATAAGTAATTTGCTATCTTGTTAGATAAAGGCAATTCCTAGATTTAAAAAAAAATGAAGATGAAATTAAAGCTGGGGCAGTAGATGGGCACCAAGACATAAAGATTCCAGCAAGACTGTCCTACCTAATGTTAAAAAAAATAGTTATATGTATATAAAAAAACACAAGCCACAAAATAAAAGGAAAGTAAAATACTTCAAAGCCCAAAAATTCCAAGTGAAGGCAGATAGATTCCTTACATCTACTTTTCAGTGCTTGTCCAGAGGGAAATGCTTTCAACTGGCAACTGCCTGCACTTACATATTGCACAGAGGTTGAACAAGCGAATATGTGAAGTTGAGTTGCAGGAGGGGAAAGCATACATTCCTGATGGATGTGGTACAGAGTAAATGCAAGTGTTGTCTTTTTCTGGCAGGTTTTGGCGTCAAGTTGGAGGTCATCTTCGACTGGTAGAGTGCAATAACCGAGGCATAGTGTGGGGCATAGGATATGATCACACAGCTTGGGTTTACACTGGTGGATATGGAGGTGGCTTCATTCAAGGTATGGACATTGGTATGCTGTGGTGTGCACATTTCTTACCTTCCTGACTGGGTCAGCTATTCACACGATTTCAGCTGACTTTCCTTTAGCCTAACATGTGGGGTTATACAGTGAAGAGGCCAAGCATTAGGAAGGAATTGGTATTGCAGTTTTATATTTTTATGATGTTGATATTTTAAGTTTAAGAGTGAGAAAGAGGATAATCAGCAATATTACTGCGCCTGTTGGAATTTAACATGTACTTTCTTTTGAAGTCTAGTTTTAATGTAATCCAAATGATTTATTTCTTGACAGGCCTGGCCAGTAGTGCTGATAACATTTATACACAATCAGATGTGAAATGTGTTTACATTTATGAGAACCAGCGGTGGAACCCAGTCACTGGATATAGCAGCAGGTTGTTTATTGTATTTATTTGCCATCATTTTTTACCACTGTCAAATAAAACAAGGGGTTTGTTTTAGCTTTTCAGAATAGTTATTACAGTCACTGTCTTCAGTCTCCTCCAACATTTATTGTTAACCTGAGATGGAAGAAGCAGTCAATTTTCTAGATTTATAATTATCCATTCGAAATGCATTTATAGCAAAACCTTACAGATTTGTGCTTTGTGAGTGCACAGTGTGCCTACTTAAAGCATTTTCCATTATTAAGGCCATACAGCAAAGTTCTTACTAGAATATATATATTCATATATATATATTGTGCTAAATACACCGGGTCCTGGAATAGTATAAACAGAAGTATTGAAAAAGTATTCATACACATGAGTGTTTATGCCAGAAAAAACTCAGGATTCACCTTCTGATTTTAAGTAGTGGTGAGGAACATCACTCTACAGAGAAAAGTTTACAATGTCCTTAAGTTTGGTGTAACTGGAAGTAATTATGCAGGTTCTTTCCCACTATCCTCATCACTCATATGATATTTCTAAATACAGAAATTAATGATGGAAAACGGTTTCATGTATGAAAGTAGGAAGTGCTACAAGTAGGCTTTTCTTCCCTCACCTTTCAAATTCTCTGTTGTAAATGACCTTGCCTTCCTTGTACACTGTTTCGCCACAGAGGTCTGCCCACAGACAGATACATGTGGAGCGATGCATCTGGCCTGCAGGAATGTACAAAACTCAACACCAAACCTCCTTCTCCACAGTGGACCTGGGTAAATTTTGTCTTAAAGGTCTTTTTCCTAAGAAGGCAAAGCTTAGCGACCAGGATAAAAGACTGGGGCTTAAATGACCCAGATTTTCTTCCTGGATTTGTCATAATACTTAATCTTGGTTTCCCCATTTACACAATAGCAGTAACCTTCCATAATCAAAAGAATGTTTAGCATTGAGTAGGACTTTCTTGTTTAGGGGGCCTTAGACTGCTGCTCTGATCCTTTTCGACTGAATTAAAGAGACTTGGGAATTTAAATTTAAATGCATTCATACTGCAAGTATTAGGTTTCTAGCAAGTCATTGCACTCCAAAAGGTAGAGGAAAAGAGCGGAAGAGGTTATTTTTATTATATAGTAGGTGTAGATTGTGCTTATTATTCTCACTGTCTCCTTTTGACAATAGGTATCCGATTGGTACATCGATTTTAATACTTCAGGCGGAACCGATCGGGAGGGCTGGCAGTATGCAGCAGACTTCCCAGCGTAAGGAGATAACTTTTTCTACCTAAAATGCCAGACTTAAGTCCTTGCTGCTTCTTGTTTGCTCTTTTGCATATTAACTGTGCTTTAACAGGGACAAGCGTGCCTTGATTTCTCCCTTTTCATGGGGACACTAGCACTGACATTCACTGGGGAGGCAGGGCAGCAAGCTGAGGCTAGCAAACACAGTCTCAAGTATTTTAAAGTCAGCAGGCGTATCTGGTGGGCAGATACATAGGCAGTGCTCTCAGGCTGGCACTGACATTGGAGATGCTCTGACACCCTCATGAACACCCATTTAAATCTTTTTTGGTAGGTCCTACCATGGTCACAAGACAATGAAAGACTTTGTCCGACGGAGGCGCTGGGCAAGGTAAGGAATTCATAAATAAAAGTTTGGAACTTGAATGCTAACTGTTCCCTAGAAGTCCTTTAGTTATGAGGGGGAGAGTCTTATCACGCAGTCAACAAAAGCACTAGTAAAGAAACCTGCAATAAGTAACCCATCTCCAACAGAGAAGTTGATGATCTTTAGCATTATGGTTTTAATTTTAAACCTTTACATGTAGATACCCTATTTGATTTTTTGGGATCTGTAGTTAGTGCGTATTCACTGTTTTTCCAGCTTTCCTATGCTTTCTATGCTACAGCATCTACTAGTTATGCTAATAAATTACTGTGGAGTTACGCATTGTTCTGTTTGCTGTTGATGCTACAAAGCTTTGTTTGGCCCTTGTACAACAGTGTTTGAAGGAAGGTCCTGAAGCATCAACCTGTTGTTCCAGGATATGCAACAAAACAAATGACATCCAATCAATCACACTGGTGACTTGAAATAAAATAAGCAACTTGAGAAATACCCTCAAGTCTAAACATTTCCTCTTGTTTTAATTATCCATAGAAAATTGAAAATAAACAGGGAACAGCTTAGGGCTGGATCCAGTTTTTCAGAACTGGAGAATGGAGGAATGTCCAGTGTTTTTTAGGACATTCTTCATACAAAGAAATTACTGTTGGGATGATAGAATCCAACATCATTTATGAAATAGCACTACCTTGTTGCAATTTCCACAGCAAAAATGCACCAATTCCCAGGGTGACCTACCTCCAACTCTTATCTCTGCCTGCCCCAAAACACTGCATAACTTTTTAACAGACCCCACCAGAAAACTAGTTGTAAGGTAATTCCTCCAACCAAGATAGAAAGGAATGAATCAGGTGTGGAATTCTGTCTGCAATGGGATTATCAGTTGGGGTCGAATATTCACTATCCAGCTGTTGCCCAGTGAGTTAGAGCGCGCCAGGAAGCAGTGTAGCACAAACTGCAGCCTTGGGTTTACAAAGCTTTTAAACCCAGAAGCTTTGGGAAATCAGTAATACGTCAAAATATAAAATCTGATGCAAAACATGATTGATTCTTCTAAACCTCTTTGAAATTAAAAATACTAATGCCTACCTAATGAAAAGACTTCAGGATTGTTTGTACTGAAGTCAACAATGGACCAGGAAACAAATTCAGTTCTAGAAAGTATGTTGTTGTGACAGGTTTGGGTTTTTTCTGCTTCAGAAAATGTAAGATAGTCACCAATGGGCCATGGCTGGAAGTGCCTCCTGTTACCCTGTGGGACATCTCCATAATTCCCAGTTCAGATGCAGATGGTGAAGAAGCAGTAGCACTGTGGGCAATCAGTGACAAAGGAGACGTGCTCTGCAGGCTTGGAGTGACACAGCAAAATCCAGCTGTAAGGCTCCCTGTTTGTTTTTACTGCCTTATTGATGTATTTAGTATGATTATGCAAGTGCATACACGCAATCACGCAGTGCCTTTTCTCAAAGCACCTTGTTATTTTTTCCCTTTTATGTCCCAGATTTGAAAGTCCTTGTCCATCATCTGTAACGCAGTTTGCTGCCCACATTTCTTATAATAGTGCTTCTCTTGCATAATCTACCTTAGCTTGTGCCACGTCACCTGCAGGAGCCTCTCTCAGCTCCTGTACATCTTGTGAAGCATTTCACTTCCACTTTCTGCACTGACAGCTTTGTTCCTTTTCTAATTGTTGATAAGGTGTGTATCCCATTTAAATGAACTGTTGAGGAATAGAATTTCTTTAAAGTATAGACCCAGTCTAATGCCTGTTGGTATCAGAAGGAGTTTATCCTTTGACTTTTCTCGGTCTGGAACTGACTTTGCTTGTTGAAGACAGATGGGTTGGGACTAACCTGTGTTTTTATGGACTGGGACAGAAGCAATAAGTGCATGTCCCGTAAAGTATGCGGAAAGGAACAAATAGTCCCAGTAACTTCAACAGGAATACTTACTTCCTACTAACAGACACGTACTGAAACATCAGGTTAGGGTTAGTATGTGCTGATTCTAAGCCATATTTACAACAGGGCAAAATGTAACAATATACTTTAGTGGAATTTGGGGGAAAACTGCAAGAAGTTGAAAATTTATAGGATTTTTTATTTTTCTCCCTGTTCAATCAATCGCAGTAGAACAGATCTGTAAGGCAGTGCAACAGCAAGAACTGGAACACTGTCTGGAATCTGAAGCCCCTTATCAGTTGACTTTTGTAAGACTCATTCTACATAATCAAAACCAGGGAATTATTAAAAAAATAAAGTACTAGCCCAGCTATTCAGAGATATGCAGGTGCCTAAATTCCAGTGATCTCAACAGAAAAGGCCTTGTTAGAGTCAAATACAGCTGTTCTCATATAGTTATATATCCAAATATCTTTGAGGATCAGGGACTTCGTTTCTGTTCAGTTGTACAGGTAGGTAAGGATTATTCTTCACAACATTTTTCACTATGTAGAGTTTGTCCCATTTGGTAATCAATTATATTTTGTCATGGAGTTCTTAACCAGTTCTTCACAATTCACCTTCCATGGTTTGTTAGGGAACATCCTGGCTGCATGTGGGAACAGATCAGCCCTTCATTTCCATCTCAGTTGGAGCATTTTACCAAGTGTGGGCTATTGCTAGAGATGGTTCTGCCTTCTATCGGGGTTCAGTGTCTCCAAAAAAACCAGCAGGTAAGTGCTTGCACTTTTTTAGTATGGTCTTCGTCTTACGCATTGTGTAAGCTCTACTACCCTGCCATTTCTGAAAAAGACAAATCTGTTAGGCAGAGGTCCTTCCAATAGCTGTGCAAAACAGTGCACATGAGGAACACTCATGATAATTTTAGCAGTTAATTTGGTCTTCACCTACATGAGTTAAGGTGTTTGTTTCTAAAAACAAGCTAGTAATGTATTAAGTGTAATGTAATTCAGAGCTTTCTTGCATAGCTCTTTACTTCAGCTGCAGACATTTCCAAGGCTTCCCATATATAATTCTGTTTTCTCAATGTTTGACTGAAGTATCTCTGACCTTTAGGTGACTGTTGGTACCATATTCCTTCACCTCAAAAACAGAAGTTAAAGCAAGTCTCAGTAGGACGAACATCTGTGTTTGTGTTGGATAAAAATGGTAAGGACTTTTTAAAGGAATGTGTCAATGTTACAGAAAATAAATCGGTATACATCAGATTGAATTAAAAAAGAGATGCTAAGTTAGAGCTTCTGCTTGGACAGATGGTTACTGTTGCTTCAAGATGATTAATATATTTTATGTTGAAAGAGATGGAGTAGGCAGCCCACTGAAGTACTGCTTTTAAAGACTTGGGCTTTGTTGTATCATATAATGCCCTAAGTAGCAACAGTCCAGCATCTGTGCTATTCTTGGGGGAAGAGATAGGTGAACGTCAAAGAGGAGAACTGCATGGCAGGATTTTGTCTAAAACCCTAGAACATACATAACTGAAGAATAATACTTGCCTGTTGCAAAACCTAGGAACGGCACCATCATTGCAAGATAAATGATGAAGCATCCTTTTACAAAAGAAACAAGCCTTTTAACACCACTTTCCTCCAATCTCATTTGCTTTACATCTCTTGTGCATAGTTCCTTATGTGAACATTTTTCCCCAAGAAATTTTACAGAAAAGTTATAAAGAATAATTATAGAAATACAAATTTGAAAGTAGGAACTTCATTGTTCTTCACCGTAAGATATTAGTCAAAAAAATAATGCATTTCCACAGAACACGGGAAGTATTAAGCATTGCTTTGTTATGTTGTTTACTAGCACTTTACACCAAGCAGACATCCTGAGCTGTAACCAGGACTCTGTATTTTACAGGCAATCTTTGGTACCGGCAGGGTATCACACCAAGCTACCCTCAAGGATCTACTTGGGATCACGTTTCAAATAACATCCGCAAAATGTCTGTGGGGCCCCTGGACCAGGTGTGTATTAAGCTTCCTTATATCTCAGCAGTTTATTAAAAATCACTCATAATATACCTTTGTAATTAAATTTTCTCCTGAATTATTTTTATTTATTTATTCTTTAAGATGATTGTCTAAATACTGAAATCCTGACAGCAAGACAAAAATCATGCCAATGAAATAGTCATACAACCAGCCCTTCCTTTGCTAGGAAAAGCCTCACTTTTTCCCCCCTTTAACTAATAAGGCTATTTTGTATATTTAATCTCTTTCCTGCCAAATCTTACTATCTGTCAATGTTTTAGTTATGACACTTGTATCTAGTTGTTTGTTTGGGTGTCTCTCTGATTAAATTAGAGCAGTTTCAGCCTATTCAAGACTGGTTTCTGAACATGGTCAAACACACAATTTAAACATCTAGAAGAGCAGCACGAAGAGCACATTTTATTGCCTCTCTTTGCTTTCTTGAGGTCTGGGTGATAGCTGACAAAGTGCAAGGAAGTCATAGTTTGAGCTGTGGGACAGTCTGCCATCGGACTGGTGTTCAGCCAATGGAGCCTAAAGGCCTCTCATGGGACTATGGTATTGGGGTAAGTGCTGGGGGCATAACACTGCCTAAAAGTTGTGTATCCATATATCCGTGGGAATGTGGGAAAAGGAAAGTGCCATCCTGCTTAGCTGGCCAGCTTTCTAAAGCTGGCATATACCTGCGGGAAATTGACATTTGTTCTTCAGCTTTAGGTTCATTTTATAAGTTAATATAGTAGATGATGCAGTTACAGCTGGGAAGTCATTTATTTGCTTTTGATAAGTATTCATTATAAATAGGTAATTTCAAAGTTATAATAGGAAAAAGCAGTAAAGTAAGTGCCATTTAAAAAAACCCAAAAAGCATATTCCTTCTTAGTCTGCACATGATTATTCCTCATTGTTGTTCCATGTATTATGCTTAGTCTTTTGAGAAAAGCTATTTCAAGGTTTTGGCCTCTTATTAGTTGGTGGAAAACCTGCCACAACTCTATTAGGAGCACCTGACCCTACTAATCTCAATTCCTGTAATAAAAATAATCCTCAAGGGGTAAATTGTATTTTGGTTTGGTTTGTTTTACAATGAGTCATTTTTCTGCTTCACCCACAGCAAGATTACTTTCCTCTTGAATAAATAGTATAAACTAGTAGCAGATATAAAGCATCAGATCAGATACTGTACTTGCATAGTGATGTTTCTCCTGTTGTATTTCTTTATCAATCTTTTACAGGGTGGATGGGAGCACATTAGTGTCAGAGGAAATGCAACTGAAGCATCTAAGCTCACTGTGCATGACACTTCTGAGGAAAACCTTGCAGTATCAAAAGATGTAGAAGATGAGGAGAGTAAAGGGAAAACAGAACTCTCTAAAACCCCTCTGATGGTCAGTGAAAGTCAGCAATTGGACAGAAATGCTGTTAATTGTTAAGTTGTTGCCATTTACGTGTTCCAAGCAGTAGTCAGTATCATTTAAAAAGAAACTAAATATCTATTGCCTGGAGAGAAAAACATTTTTTTGTGCTACTAAAATATTTTACTGAACTGAAATTTTAAATACTGACTTCTTCTACTACATCATGTGCAAAATGTGACTTGATAGAGCTAATAGTTTTGTCAAAGCAGGCAACCTTTTTAGCCACGATATATTTTTGACCCTTTACCATAGCTGCTACAAACCATACAACTGTGAGTATTTTTGCAGACGATCATTACATTTACTACATTTTTTGTAACATTATGGTTCCTTTCCCTCCATTTCTGTCAGATTCACACACCTTGCACACTGTTCTTCAGATTCACATTTGAGCAGAGATGAAGATGTCACATCAGTGTAAATGAATAGCAGGCAAACCAAACAGGTCCTAATTGCACAAGCATTTATGTAACTCTGCTTATGTGAATCCTGCTTTTACAGGCATGTAGCTTGTGTCGTGCTATTCTTGCTCCCACCAGTAAAATTAAATTCTACACAACTCAGCTTAGGGTGCAGTTACCAGTAAGGGACAAATTTTGCTATCTTTGCTCACAATGAGCAATAGCTCAATCAAGAAGTGGAGACACTAGTTTTGGTGAGACTTTGTGGAAAGCACGGTCCTATTCAGTCTAAGTGACAATGTCTCAATTCTAAATTGTTGGTCCAAATAGTGGTAAATCATGTTTTGTCTTCATCTTAACTGGAACTGTGGTGACTGAGGTAATGCATATGTCTACCTCATGAGGGTGAAAGGCACCAGACGCTTGGGCTGGGCTGCATTCCAGGTCTTCGCAAATCATGTTTTCAATAGTGTAAAAGACAAGAGGAGGTCTTCAATAAGATTCTGACTTCACAGTGATAAGAGTGCAAAACAACTTCACTGGTATCAGTAGAGTTTGCCACCATATACTAATGTGGGTTCAGAATGAAGCTCCATTCTTTGTTTTTAGTGATTGATTCATCCCTTCTTCCAACAAGAAGCCACTCCTTATTCTCAAAAAAAAAAAAAAAAAAAAAAGCTTTTTTTTTTTCCCTGTCTTGCTTATCAGCATTGAACTGTGATGTGAAATTATTAATTGAAATCCAGTCCTTGGGAAGTGCTGAAAAAGCCTTTCCCATAGTTTCAGGAGGGCACCACGTTTTTCCCCTGGCAGCAGTTTACATCCATTTTTCCTCTCTGTGTGTGACTGTGTATGGCATTATTTTTGTATGATGAACAGTGTGGTGTGGTCTCAGTACTGTATTTGTAGAAGTAAAACTTATGTTTGCACGTATTTAAAGAATATATTTGGTATTTTAATGCCAAGGAAAGCACTGTTTCCAAGTCCAAATGTGAATGAAGATTGAAGATGCTTTACTGTTTTTAAAAAGTTGTTGATCTTTCCAGTATGTGATTAGACATTTCTGGTTGATACATGCATTGTGGGAGTACCATCAATAACATGTTTGCTTTAATTACCAGAATAGGTTTTGCATAACTTGCACAGTATCTTGTCCAAATAAATGACTTTATTACATGTATTTTTAGAGAATAACTAGGATTGTATTTTCTCTGCATCGTATAAAAAAAGTATTTTCTTTTAATAGTGTTTACATATCCAACAATCAAACTGATTTCATACGATAAGCTTTATAATGT